TGTTGTTAAGTATTGTCGAGTCGGTTCTGACTCATAGTGACCCTGTACTGGGTTTCCGAGGCTGTAAATCTTTATGGGAGCAGAAAGCCTCATGTTTCTCCCACGGAACAGCTGGAAGTTTCCAACTGCTGTCCCTGAGGTTCGCAGCCCGATTCGTAACCAGTACGCTACCAGAGCTCCTTCTCTCATAGTTTAGGAGGCTGGAAGTCCCAATTAAGAGTGCTAACTCTAGGAAAGACTTTCTCAGTGGATTATGGGTGAGGGTGGCTCCTTGTTTTCTTTGAACATTGGTGGGCCTGGTGTTCCTTGCACATTTCCATGTGTTGCGGCCTTAGTGTTCTCCTGGGTCTAGGAGCTTCGCAGTGTAGGATCCCCAGGTTCAAATAATGCATTCCTCTCCCAGCTCTTCTTTGGCGCTACTGATGCCCCTCTGATCTCTGGTCACTTGTTTAATCTCTTTTATATTTCAAAAGAAATTGCCTTAAAATATAACCTAATCCTGTAGATGTATCCTGCCTCTTTAACATAACTACCATTAATCCTACTTCATTAACATCAGCGATTAGGATTGACAACATACAGGATAATGGTATCATATCCCCAGATAGAGGGTAATTATATGATACTGAGAACCATGATCTAACTCAGGTTGACATATTGGTGTGGGGATGTGGGGGACAACACAGCATTCAATTCCTAACACCCAGTGTCACTGGTTTGCAGTGCCCTTTCTGGATGACTCATTCACAAGGCTTCTCTTAATTTCTAGGATTTCTATCCTCTTCCTTACCTTTATGATAGTTCATCAAACCTTTCAATAGAATTTCTATTTTCTTTCTAAATACTATTCTTTATCCAGCATTTTTAGTTGCTTTTATAGGATGACCCATCAGGATAGCAGGTCTACCGTAATACCGGAAAAAGAAGTCTTTGGAATTTCAATTTCTGTAAGCAATTCTTTATCTTCTGCAGTGCAAATACCAAGGAACAGCCAGATTGCAGAGAGACAAGTAGAAGCAAACGCATTGAATGCACTTGCATGATCATTAGGCAGCCTGGGTGGTACAAATGGTTAAACACCAGACTACTCGTGGAAAAGTTTACAGCTTGAACCCATCCAGACATAGGTCTAGCGAGCTGTTTGTGCAAGGTCACAGCCACTGAAAACCCTACAGAGAAGTTCTACCCAACGCAACACCAACTAACAACAACAACAACACCAAGCATGATCATTAATCTGTGCATTCATCCTCAGGGTAATCTAGAGTTATATCAGTGCAGATAGTTTTCCTGTCAGAGAACCTTTCAAACGGTACAAAACCAACGGCGCTCTATGAGAAGATAAAAGAAGGAAAATAAATTAAGTGAGAAATGTTTCTCCTTTTTGCTTGGTCTTAGTCTTTATTTTCTCTGAGACAGATTAATGGTCTCAAGATCTTTCAAAGCTATGTTGAGGTTGTATATTGGTATTTTCTTTATGAGCTACATAACTGGGGCCACTTTTCAGAGCTCTCTGAAGAGCCCTGCTTTCAGAAACAAAAAAGAACCAAGAGGAATTGTAGGTGGATGATAGCCTCCATTTCAACTATGGTGGCCCCATGTGTTTCAAGGTAGAACTGTGTTCCACAGAGTTTTCTGTGGCTGATTTTTAGAAGTAGGTCCCCAGATATTTCTTCTGAGACACCTATAAGTAGATTTGAACCTCCAATCTTTCACTTAACCATTTATGACACTTAGAAACTCCTCCCAACCCACTAGATTCTCCTTTCCTTCCTCTGCTTTTCGTGTTCCTCATATCACACTCATATATTTGCACTCCAGTCTGTCAACTTATTAGTTATAGAAATTCGCGGCAGACTTGATGTAGTCTCCTTTTTACCGGTTGTTTGTTTTTTTGTTTTTGTTTTGTCCTGGGAACACGTGAACTTAGAAATCAACTTGTCTGATACAGGGGAATACTTACTATCATGAATAATAATTAATAGAAGGAGTTTTGAAATTGAACGAGCCAGTATCTATATCCAAAACTTGCAGATTGCTGGTCGTTTTGATATCAAGCATACCAAGACACTGATTAATTTAATATTCAGCTGCATTACCTGTAAAACAATGATAGTTACTACATCATAATATGGATGTGAAAAGTAAATGAGATAATGCATGTAAAATAGTTCACATGATATCACATATCATAAGCCCTCAACAAATTATTAATATACTCATGCTTGGTGAGGTAGAGGGTCAATGAAAAAGGAGAAGACCTTCAGTGAGGTGGATGGACACAGTAACTGCAACAATGGACCCAAACTTAGCAACAATTGTGAGGATGACACAGGACTTGTCAGTGTTGCGTACTATTGGACAGAGAGGTATGCATAAGGTCACTGTGAATCAGAACCACTGGACAGCACCTAACAATAAAAATATAGAATTAGTAATAGTTTTGACAGGGAGTTTCTTCTTTTTAAGACAGTTTCTTCTTTTTAAAGAGTAAAAGCCAAAGAATTTAAAAATTTACAGTTCTTCTTTTTAAAACAGGTAAATAGTAAAAGCCAAAGAATTTAAAATTTTACAGTTTTTCTTTTTAAGACAGGTAAAGAGTAAAAGCCAAAGAATTTTTAAATTTACAGCTATAATGGAACATTTGGGAAGCTGTGATCTAAGTGTTACCTGTTACTTGGGATGGGATCCTAAAAGAAGATGAGAATATTCACATCTACCTGGAATACTGAGGAGCTCTGGTAGCATAGTGGCTACAAATTGGGCTGCTAACCTCAGGGTCAGCAGTTCGAAACTACTAGCTGTCCCGTGGGAGAAAGATGGGGCTTTCTGATCCCGTAAAGATTTACAGCCTCGGAAACCTTGTACAGGGTCACTGTGAGTAGGAACCGACTCCGTGGCACATAACAACAACAACAACCTGGAATACTATGTTGTTGTTGTTGTTAAGTGCTACTGAATCGATTCCGACCCATAGTGACTCTGTATAGGGTTTCCAAGGAGGAGCTGGTGAGGTTGAACCACCTACCTTGCAGTTCAAATGACTTTGCAGTCTGACACATTAACCCACAGCCCCACACCAGGACTCCTATAAGTGATATTTACTTGGGAGCTGGATCACATGAACTGGGAGGTCCTTTGAGTAAATTATGTATGTCTTAGAGGACAAATCTATGCACTTCTGGAATCTGTGTGGCATGCCTATAGTGTTGTTATTGTTAACTGCTGTGGAGTCGGTTCTGACTCCAAGGAGTGGCTGATAAGCTTGAACCACCCACCTTCCATTTCAAATCAACTTTGCAGTCCAGCACATTAACCCACGTAGCCACACTGATGCCTACAATACCTGTGCGCAAAATATGGCCAGAACTGCATGAGTACAGACTCAAAAGCTTTAAAAACAATTGCAGATGTATTCAGAAGTTTTGAAAGTGTTTGAAAGTGTTGTCTAGCAAAGCGCCTGTGGATTGAGGGTTGTTTGGGGAGGAGATAGATCTCTCAAAGCTCAGTAATACTTGTGTGTTTCTGCTAGAGCATCTGGACACTGGAGGGAGATAGACACTGTATTTTAGTGAGGGTTGTACAGCTTGTTTCCATCTAGTGGACTCCAATTCATGGAGACTCCATGGCAGAGTAGGGCTGTACTCCATAGGGTTTTCAGTGAATTATCTTTTTGAGTCAATTCTGGATGGACTTGAATCTCCCGAACCTTTAACTTTTTGATTACTGTACCATGCAGGGACTACAGGTTTGGATGAGGTCACTTCAGTTAAACTTGCTTGGCTCCCTGCCCCTTAGTTAGTGGGGATAGAAAGCTGAACAAGGTACACAGTCCCTGTCTTCATGGAGCTTACTTCTTGAAGCAAATAATAATTACAAACATGAATGGTTTTACCAAGGGGATCTGCCCCCAGAGTTCCTGAAGAGACATTACTTTAAAGTGCCTAGTATAGGTGATGTGCATTAATATACATGGATGTCTCTGTAGATGGTTTAGGAGCACGCTTCAGGGTAAAGGTTTATTATGGTTCAGCTGAAGGTTGCTATTTCATAACTAATCTCCTCTTTGTTCAAACTCACACATCCGCATTACTGACTCAGATAGTCAGAAATGTAGGGGAGGACATAATGAATTTCACAACTAGGAAAGTAAGTTGGGACTAGAACTTCTAGACTCCAGGTTGCAGGCTTTCTAGACTTCCTACTTTTTAGTGAATTGTGGATCACACTGAGGGTTAAAATCTAGTTCAGTGCATTAGCAAATATTAGTCTGAATGCTTTGGAACCCATAATGATGATAATGCTAAAATCCTAAAAAAAGGTCTTGTGACCACCTTAAATGGAACCTTGGCCCCAGGGAATTTAAGGTGTTAATGTTGTTGTTAAGTGCCATCAAGTCAGTTACAACTCACAGCGGACCCTTTGTAGGGTTTCTGAGGAGCGGCTGGTGAGTCTGAACCTCTGAGCTTTGTAGTTTAAACCGACCTAATGGGTCACGTAAAGCACTATCTCTTCACAAGTCCTAGAAGTCATGGCAGTTGCCCCAGCTGAGGAAGAGAAGTGTGTCTGTGTGCTATGAACTGCTTGGGGTCTCTCTGCGGAGCTCACAGACATTGCTGGTGAGAAGTGCAAATGCTATTTAAGGTGGTCTCTAGCAGTCGGCATTCTGACACCCAAGTGCTCACCAACCCCAGCAGTCTGACCGACAAGCTCAACCTTGGAATCTGAAAGTTTACTGAGAAAAATGGGGTTCTACTCCCCTCCTCCTTCGGGAGAAGGGGGAAAGAGAGAGATTGAGAAAGCACGTTTTAACCCTTTGGTGGCTGCTTATAGAAGTGCTCATCTCAGGATATTTTTCTCTCCTCTCCCATCTCCTGCAGCCTATTAGTCACCCACTGTCTCCTTGACATCCTGTCCCATCCTGAGATCAAACTTGTGCTGTGTCTTTAAATGGGCGGAGCAGGTTGGTGGAGTTTTGCTTGGGTACAGCATTGATTAGAAGAGTAAATGGAGCTGCGGGGAGCTGCCCTGCCGCCTGGAGGAAGAGAGGTGCTAGTTCCTGTAGGTTTTTGCTCTCCTCCTGGGCTCTCCTTGGGCTCTTCCTCCAAAGCGGCTCCGATCGGTGTGAGGTGAGGGTGGGTGGGTGGGTGGCCAACAGCATGCCTGTTTACTGCAACTCCAGGACTTGGTTTGCAGCATTGTCAGCATTACCCATCCTCAACAGAACCCGGCAGTGGCAGCAACAGCTCGGGCAGGGAGCCCTAGCCCTAGGCTGGGTTTGCACACACTGTCCTTGCCTCTGAGCTCAGCTTTTTGCTGGCAAGAAGGGAAGAAGGAGCAGCAGCAGCTCTCGTGGCTTGTGTGCTCTCTCTCTTTCTGTGTTCAAGTCATATTACATGGGATTCTGTTCTTTGGGGACTTCGTCATCTTTTCAAATATGTCCTGGGACCTCCGGAGCTGTAACAGGGATGCTAAAGACGTGGTCAGTGGATTATCGAGACTGTACTAATGAAAGGATTCAAGCTATCCTGGTAAGTAAAGATGGGATGAGGTGCTTCCCTTTCTGTTGACATTTTTCACCCTTGTGTTCCACCCAGAACCTCAGCCTCCTCAACATATCTCATTCAGTAAGGTTCACTTGCCTCACTAGAGAGGTCTTCAGGGTTGAGATGGGAGTTATGCACTCTACAAAGTTGGATTATCCTCCCAGCTCACCCCAGCTTCTGCATTGCTGCAGTATTTTCTGCCAGCATCTTCCTTAAGAGGAGGGATTTCAAGGAAGTTGGGAGACTGTGAAGAGAATCAAACTGCAGCTGCCAAAATTATCCAATCTTGGGTGAAGGGTGGTGCCCACCCAGGGAAGTTTGTAAAGAAAGCATTCCTTCTGCAAGACAGTATGCCTCAGTGTCAGTCTGGAGGTGGGACTGTACTCTTCTTGCCAGACTGATATCTTCATGGGGCGTTTCTTACTACTCTTTAGGGCACCCCCACCCTAGTGGGCAGCCTCTGACCTCTTAGACACTTTCTTGTCTTAGAAGGTGATGTAGAGCCAGGCTCCATCTTCTAGGATGCCTGGTGACCAAAGGAGAGTGGGCTCCCCACTATCCTCCAAACACACGTACTTACCTTGGGGCTTTGTAAGAGTTTCTTCGTTTCTTCCTGTGCCCAATATCGGACTATTAAAGACATCTTATGCTTGAGGATGAGGGTAGCTGTATGCTAGCTATGAAAGTTATCAGAATATTTTTGTTTCATTTTCAAATAAAACCCCCACCTCTTCCTCTTTTCTCTTGATTCACTGAGGATGAGACAGGTGGGTGAGTCGGCTTTTTTTATGTTGTTGTTTTATTCCCAATCTGCTTGAGAAACTGTGGATTTCCTGTGAAAACTTTGTGGTGCAAGGAGAGGGTTCTAGTACTCTCCACAGGGAGTCTGTGCAGCAGCCAGGAGGAGGAAGACTCCTGGAGGAGGAAGGCTCCTTGGGCTAGGGTGGAGCTTCTCTCCTTGGGGAGTGGGGTGGGTGGGTGAAGGAGGGGATGTGTTTGGGAGCCACTCTCTGCAGGGCTGCCATGAATTCCTTGCAGCCAGCAGTGCATAGCGGGTTGCTGGTAGGTCAACTTTCTGGGTTTAAGGTGGATGTATACAGTTGGGGATGAATAGTGAGGATTTTAACCCATGAAGTCCTAGGTGGACTCTAGGTGACTTCTGGATTTCAGAAAACGCCAGCCTAGATTAAACCTTGACAAAATTAATCTAGTCCAGTCTTTTTAAGGCAAGAGGGTCCTGTAGTGGATCCCGAAAGGCTCTTTGCTGAATGGAAAGAAGGGAGGCGCTTCATTCCTTCACTCTTAACTCTTAAGAACCTTGAGGTGTAAGAAGTGGTGAGAATCAGTGACCACCCAGCCTGTTTTGGTATCCACTTCCTCTATGCCAGCTCTTGTTCTGAAGGCTCTCCTTCAAGATTAGGAAAGGGAAGTAAAGGTGTTACAGTGCCCTCCTTGCCCTTGCTTTCTTGAGGCCAGATACCCTGTTCCTCCTGACTTGGAAACTATTGTTGGAAACTGCTGTTACTGGGGATTCTAGGTCCGTCCACCGCAGCAGCCCAAGCCCCTTTGTTCCTCAGCATTGCTGAGCTAGCTCTGTGGCTTATGTGAGGCCTCTAAGGAGTGCTCAAGTCCTGCTAGGAGAGCTGCAACACCGAAATCACTCAGCGTCCCTCAGTGCATTGCTGTCAGCACCCCCAACTTGGACGGAGGGGGAGCTTGGCTGTCATTCAGGATGAGACATCACTTTTAGACCAAATGCTTCTGGGCTCAGCCTCAGATGGTCCCTCAGGGACATACAGAGATGTTTGCTTATAAAAATCTACCCTGTGGATCTCTTGATGTATTTCAATAAGGAGAAGAAAAACTGGGAACTGTAATATGGGTAAGCTTGTCCTCCTCAGCCAAGCACATTTTACCCAGATGGGAAATTTTGTGTATTTCTTATTTGCGTAGATACTGTTGGATCCTGCAATCCACCATCTGATTATATTGGTATATAGATACATATATTGGTCCATGTGGGCATAATTGTTGTAGTTGTGAATGTTTTGGTTTGGAAGTGTCACTTGTCAGGCTACTTCCTACTCTTGGTAGAAACAAGGTGATTTGTTCTGGATGGCACTATCTGCATGTGGAAGAGAAGGAGATGGATTAACTTTCTAATGTTTTTTTGAGTCTTCTCTGTAAACATTTTTAGAATACCTACTATATGCTGTCTGATGCTGGGAATGACAAATTGAAGAGGAATGACATCACATTCATCACTGAAAAGAATATTTTAAGATGTCTTGAAGTCCAGTGCTGTCTGTGATAGGTTAATATCCATACACATACAAGGCAGACCAGTTAATACCACTGTTATTCAAACTTACACACCAAACACTAAAGCCAGTGATGATGAAACTAAAGAATGGTGTGGTTCTGTGGGTTAATGTGCTTGACTGCAAAGTTGCTTTGAACTGCAAGGTTAGCAGTTCAAGCTCACCAGCTGTTCCTGGGAAAACCCTATACAGGGTCGCTGTGGGTCGGAACCAACTCAGCGGCACTTAGCAACAACATAAAACAGCATTTTCAGCTTGAAATTGATTAAGCATGCAATTAAGATGTTTTGATAAGTACTGATGTTTGAAATGTAAAAGTTGGAAACAAAGAGGAAGGGTCAGTAGTTGGAAAATATGGTTCGGTGATAAAAATCAAGCTGGATATCACATAACAGAATTTTGCAAGACCAATGACTTGTCCGTTACAAAAACACTTTTTAAACAACATAAAAGATGACTATACACATGAATCTCGCCAGATGGAATACAAAGAAATCAAATAGACTAAATCTGGGGGAAGAAATTGATGGAAAATTTCAATATCACCAGTCAAAACAAGGCCAGGGGCAGATGGAACAGATCATTAATTGCTCATATGTAAGTTCAGGCTAATGCTAAAGAAAATTAAAACAAGTTCACAAGAGCCAAAATGTAAGCCACCTGAATTTGATACCATCTCAAGAAGAGATTTGATTCATTAGACACTAATGACCAAAGACCAGAAGAGCTGTGGGATGACATCAAGAATATAATATAAGAAGAAATCAAGTCTCGGAACTACTAAGTGGTAGAATAGGACATTAAATTCAGGACTGTACTATGATTTCTATGTATTTACCTTAATTGATAGTGTCTCTAGTATGTTTTGATATTAACAGTTATTTTCCATTGAGTTGAAGTCTTGCTCCTGAGACTCCATTATCCTTGAACAAGAAATTCTAAGATTGAATTTTCGTTGAGACGTTGCATGTTCTACTTCCCTAATTCTGACTCCCAGATTTTCATTTGACTGTTTTACTTCTATTTCAACCAACATAGTTATTTACTTTATCTGCAAATTTTCTCCAGTTTTTAAATAAACAAAAACATTTGAATATGATAAATGAAAATAAGTGAACATGTGACCGTATACTTATACACATCTTCTAATTTAAGGTACATATAGTAGTTTTGTGGGGGAGTTCAAGGCCACTGTGGCCACATCCTTATTTGTCTTATCATTCTGAGAGTAGGCTGTCATGCTGTTGCTGTTGTTAGGTGCCATCGAGTTGGTGCTGACTCATAGTAACCCGATGCACAACAGAACAATGCCTGGGACTTTGCCAACTTCAAAAACTTTGCTATGGAGGGGGAATCTGATGCAGACCGTGTGGGCCCAAGTGTTGTTGACCGTCCAAACCATAGGCTCTTAGGATCAGACTTTAGCCACCTAGTAGACATAGCAAACTGTCCCTCATCTGATTATTCAGTAATGCTTGTTAGTAATCTCATACACGAGCCCTGGATAGCCACAGACAAATGTAAAAACCTTCCCTAAAAGCCGATACTGTAAATTCCAAAGAGGCAAGTTCCCCCCGCAACCCCCCAAAAAAAAAAAAGCTAAAGAGGATAGAGAGAAACTCTGTTAACTGATAATATATGGAGGGGATAATAATCAATGTAATGAAACAAGCTATATGAATGGTTGAATGTGAAGCTGATGATGTGCCCTGTAAACTTTCACTCAATCCAAAATAAAAACATTTAATAAAAATTAAAAAAAAAAAAAAAAGAAGAAGAAATCAAAGCATCACTAAAAAGAAAGGAGAGAAGGAAAAGACCAAAATGTATGTCATAAGAGACTCTGACACTTGCACTCCGGTGTAGAGACGCTGAAGTAAATATAAGAAATGAAGAGGTAAAAGAGCTAAACAGAAACTTTCAAAGGGCAGTGGAAGATGGACAGGAAGACTTAACATTTTAAGCATGTCAATACTATCCAAAGCAATCTAGATATAACGCAACCCCAATCCTGATTCCAACATTCTTTGAAGAGATGGAAAAAATGATTACGAATTTTATTCAGTAGAGATAGAAGCAAAGCGCTTCTTAAACAAAAGAACAAGGTGGAAGGTCTCTCTCTTACAGACTTCAAAATGTACTAGAGGGCCATAGTTATCAAAACAACCTGGTATTTGTACAATGAAAGACATATGGATCAATGGAACAGAATTGAGAACCCCTAAGTAAATCCATTCACATACAGCCAACTGATCTTTGACAAAGAGCCAAAATACATTAAATGGGGGAAGAGATAGTCTCTACAACAAATGGTGCTGGCAAAACAGGAAATTGATTTGCAAAAGAATGAAACAAGACCTATACCTAACACATATAGGAAAATTAACTCAAAGGGCAGTGGGAGAAGACAAAGTCAAGTATTACAATAAAATATGCAAAGACCTGGAGTTAAAACACTAAATGGAAAAACATACCCAGCAAATCTCAAGCTGAAAGAACTGAAGCAAAAGCTCAAGCCTAGACTTGCACTACTGAAGGATTCTATGGACAAAATACTGAATGATGCAGAAAGCACCAAAGAAGATGGAAGGAATACACAGAATCACTGTATCAAAAAAATTCTCGATGTTCAATTATTTCAAGAGGTAACATAGGATCAAAGGA